ATAAGTTTCATGAAGTGATATAATACATGCACTTAGTAGAGCTTAATAACTGTTATCATTATTATAATTGCTAACATTAGTATTAATTGTCACTACTAATAAAATCTCCCAAAACTGAGCCACTTACATTGGCCAAGAAAACAAGCCAAAATACCAACAAGTTTCCAAGAGGGAGGGATTCCTAACCCACCCATCTCAGATAGTATTATTTTATTCTTTTTCTTTTCTTTTTTTAAATCAAGAGACAGAATTCTTTTTATATTACACATCAGTTTTTGCACTTTTAATCACTTTTTAATTTTATAATTTTGGATGTGTTTCATCTCATTTATGATTATTTAACAGTGAAATTGCATTTGGGTTATCAAATTTTAAATTTCCCTATTCTAAGTAGTATTTCTCTAGGAAGTAGGAAATTACTTGTAAAAGTCAAACATAAAGGAATGCTTATTAGATTTTAATGGTAGTGATTAATTTCTTTTAAAAAATTGTTAGTCTAATTTTTCCATTTGGACCTGTATATTACCTTTTTGATCAGTCTAGATTGTTTTCCTATAAATAATTTTACTGAGGTAAAGTGCAACTAATTTAGAATTAAATTTTAATTGAACCTGTAAGCTTAAGGAGAATTTTCTATATAATATCCTGAGATTCTCTAATATAAAGCCAATATTCCAGGGGAGGAGGGCTACTCCTCAGACAAGTTTAATTATATAACACATAGGTAAGTTTCCTATGCTTTCCTATGCAACAATGTGAATATGGTTGACACTACTGATATGTACATTTAAAAACTGTTCAGTGGTGCCTGGTGGCTCAGTTGGTTAAAAGTGCCCAAGTCTTGATTTCAGCTCAGCTCTTGATCTCAGGGTTGCAAATTCAAGCCCCTCTTTGGGGTCCACGCCCAACAGACAAAAAACAGTTCAGATTGTAAATACTGTATTTTCTTCCACAACAACAACAAAAAATTAATGAAAAATAAAGTAGCTCCTCTGCTTCTGTGATCACCACCAAATAAACGAGCACCCATTGCAACATGGTTCTGCTCATTCTTTGACCAAAAATTCTGTTCGGTAGAAATTAAGTAGCAGCTGGAACCAAAGGATTTCCAAGTACTTGGGCAACATGCCCAGGTATTTCCTGTGTTTCATGAAAGAGAGGATGAATGCAAGATGGCATAAATAAGATTAAAGTATTTATTATACACAAAATTCCAAGGATCTGCATTTGTTTTCTAGAGATGGGTTTCTCATTTCATGTGTTTACTGTTTCCCTGGATTATATAATTTGCTTTTAAATATTCTTTAGCATTAAGACTTCAATATTTACTAGGGTTTACCTGCATAATTTCTCTGGATTTTTTGCTCAAGTTTTTTTTCCCCAGTTCTTCAAGTCCTTTATACATTAGAAGCATCAAGTTCTAACTAACTCAAGTGATTAATTTTAGCATATATATATATATATATATATATATATATGCCTAAATAAGAAGTCATTTAGATTTGTTGAGGTTTGAGTGTTTTTAAAGCTATTATATTATATTTGGTCTTCTTGGGCTTTATTTTTCAATCCACATTGCTAAGATTCATCTATGTTGTTGTACGTAGGTCTATTTTATTTATTTTTTATTTTGTTATAGCCTTACATATTAAGTGATGAGAAACAATGTATAGACTTTTTATCCTTTTTAACATTATGAATTGAATAAAATAGATAGACCATATCTATTTCATCTTAATATTAGCCACTTTTAAAAATCTATCTCAATTATGTATTCTGTTCATTATTAAAGATCACTTTTCATAAAACTCAACACATGTATTAACGTATTATTTTAATTTAAAAAGTTGAATTTGATAAACTGGGTTGTGGGGATAGTCTGTCAATTAAATTATATACTGCAAACATTTTTCATATGATGACCATGAAATCTCCAGCTCTGAGATTGACAAAAATATTGAAAGCTGTGATGAACAGAAGCACTTGTCAAAAAAAAAAAAGAAGCACTTGTCAAAAAGGTACACTCACATAAATAATATTAATAATATTTTATTTTCCCAATTGTTCTGAGAATAATGGCTGATCAAGGTACTTTGTAAGAATTAAAAAACAAGGGTAATTAATAGTTAAATAACTTACTAAAACCTTGCTTTAGTGTACCTCCTCGAAATTGAGAAAACAAATGACTACTGACTAGGAAATAACAAACCCTTTACAAACTATTCTATTTATTATTCTTTACCTTCAATAACATTGAAGAATAATTTAACTAAATTCGCTGTTAATACACCATTACAAATAATTTTTGATGACAGAATACTCTGATTTTTGGCAAATAACTGAAAAAGTTCAAAAACTGGAGATAGTCTAATAAATCGCCTTCTATTCCTATCTACTTATCTATATAAGTAAGATTTATCAGTATGCATCACTAAAAAGTAGGAATAGAATTGATCTTGAATTCTCTCTCAATGTAATAATATTTGAATACACTGGATTAAGAGATGAGTTTCTGGGATGACTGGGTGGCTCAGTGGTTGAGCATCTGCCTTGGGCTCAGGGCGTGACCTCAGGGGTCCTGGGATCGAGTCCCACTTTGGGCTTCCTGCATGGAGCCTGCTTCTCCCTCTGCCTATGTCTCTGCCTCTCTCTGTATCTCTCATGAATAAATAAAATCTTTTGAGGGATCCCCGGGTGGCTCAGCGGTTAGTGCCTGCCTTCGGCCCAGGGTGTGATCCTGGAGTCCCAGGATCGAGTCCCACATCGGGCTCCCTGCATGGAGCCTGCTTCTCTCTCTCTCTCTCTCTCTCTCTCATGAATAAGTAAATAAAATATTTAAAAAAAAATAAAATAAATTAAAAAAAATAAAAAAATTTAAGAAAATAAAATCTTTTGAAAGAAAAAAAGAAAGAGAGATGAACAGTTTTACTTTGTTGGTAATGATTTATCAAAATTTATAATAAAGATATATTTTGAATATTCTATCCTCATAATAATTTTGATGATAAGTCAATCCAGAAGAAATTTTATAACATGTAAAGTCCAATGTTCCTTAGGAAATAAAAGTATCAAATATATACTTATATTACATATTTTAGAAAATTGGGGAAGTATGATATTAGTTAAATATTAGTTGAAGGGGAAAAGAATAAAACATACAATGGTTAAGGAATACATGTTCATTTTTTTATGAATGATGGTAGTAGGGGTAACACTTCTGTAATAGGAATTAATCACTAGTAGATAGGTTTTAAAAAGAGATGTAAGAGTTCTTTAAATGTCAATATTTATAATATTTTAGAACTTAAAGCCTTCCTTTTTTAAAAAAAGATTTTATTTATTTATTAGAGAGAGAGAGCAAGAGTGAGAGAGCACAAGCAGGGGGAGCAGCAGAGGGAGAGGGAAAATTTAATCAATACCCATCTCATTCATTTCAGAGCATTCCAAAAGCAAAAGCTAAAGCTCCACCTGCTGCTTGCAAGAAGGCATTCTTTAAGACTCTAGTTGCAAGTATGTCTCCAGAGGACAGGAGGAAGACTATCCTGATAGAATTTCATTCTGGCTCTTCAGAAGGGCCAGCTCCATAATCATTCGACAAAAGAACCCCAATGTGACAAGAGAACCATACGTCAGGGAGAGTAAAGAAAATTATCCCTCACCTCATACACAATATTCTTGCCAAATAGCAAAAAAGAAAAAATTGCCACATCTCACAGAAATAAAACTTCTGTCTTCTTTTAACCCCTCATAGGTTTCTCCATAGATCAGATTATTTAGTTCTTAAAGTAGCAAGAGTCTGAAATCTATTTGGATTTTTTTTCTTGGCAGGAGTAAGGCCATAAAGACTACTACCAACATGCACTTTGCCTCTCTTTGGCTTTTTTTCAGTAGACGTAGTGTGAGGCAGACAATGATTCTGAAATGTCCTAATTCTTCACAAATGAAGTTACCAGGACTATATTTTAGAGTGAGGGCAGTTTCATCCTGAGCCATGTCCCAAGATCCAAACTGACCAGTAATAAAGCTAATACTTGGAATGGAGAAGGCTATTATTGAGAACCTTAGATATCAAAAAGAAGATTTTATCCTTTTTTTTTATTTTTATTTATGATAGTCACACACAGAGAGAGAGAGAGAGAGAGGCAGAGACACAGGCAGAGGGAGAAGCAGGCTCCATGCACCGGGAGCCCGACGTGGGACTCGATCCCGGGTCTCCAGGATCGCGCCCTGGCCAAAGGCAGGCGCCAAACCGCTGCGCCACCCAGAGAATCCCAGATTTTATCCATTTAATAAGGGTGAGGATAATGTGAAGCAAGAACTGTTATGAGGGGCACCTGGGTGGCTCAGTGGTTGAGTGCCTGCCTTTGGCTCAGGTCATGATCCAGGGGTCCTGGGATCGAGTCCCACATCAGGCTCCCCACGGGGAGCCTGTTTTTCCCTCTGCTTATGTATGTCTCTGCCTCACTCCGTGTCTCTTATGAATAAATAAATAAAATCTTAAAAAAAAAAAAAAGAACTGTTATGAAGTGTGCCTGGGTGGCTCAGTTGGCTAAGCATCTGCCTTCTGCTCAGGTCATGATCCCAGGGTCCTGGGACCAACTCTACCCATGTTGGGCTCCCTGCTCAGGGCGGGGAGCCTGCTTCTCCTTCTCCCTCTGCCCCTCTCCACCAGTCATGCCCTCTCTCTCTCTGTCTCAAATAAATAAATAAAATCTTAAAGCAAAAAGAAATTAGGAACTATTATGAATAACTTCTAGTGTTGGCTTGAGCAAATTACATAGTGTATGTTGGTAGCATTATTGAGATTAAGAAGTGTGGAGGAAAAATTGTTTTGAGGGTGAATGCAGAGCCTGATATGAACATGTAAGTGTGGAGATATCTTAAAGCAGAGGCTTTATTTAAATAAAAAAAAAAGAGAGAGAGAATAAACCAATGTTGAGATCAACCCTGACCTCTCTCTGAGAAAAGGGAAAGTCTGGTTAGACATCGCAACACCTTACCTGCTATGCTTGTCCCTTCACTGAAGCAGGTTAAATGTGAATGATGTTTGTAGTTCAAACAGCCTCTTGCCAGTTTTGCCATATGTAAAATGATAAGTCACTGTGAAGGAAGAAGAAGGATTAGTATTCACCATTTTCTTTTTTTTACCGTACAGCCTCATGCTTTATATATCTGTGCCAAGCTGACTTGCTTCCAACCACTACCATCCTCTCTCTAGGCAAGATCTATAAAGACCATACTGAAATACTACCTGTTTGTATTCATCTATCTTGTTTGTTTATATGCCCACACACTTATTTTTGGTTCTTTCCCCACTGAAATTTAAGTTCCATATTCCAGGGCAGAGATTTTTATGTTTTCCACATCAATCAACTTCAAACACCTAAACAGTGATAGTCACAAAGTAACCAATAGCTATTTGTTAACTCACTGGCTGTTTCTCTTTAATTTTAATAATCCTGAATCCAGTTTACAGATTATTTTGGGTTTTTTTTATAATAAATTTATTTTTTATTGATGTTCAATTTACCAACATACAGAATAACACCCAGTGCTCACCCCGTCAAGTGCCCCCCTCAATGCCTGTCACCCATTCACCCCCACCCCCCGCCCTCCTCCCCTTCCACCACCCCCTAGTTCGTTTCCCAGAGTTAGGAGTCTTTATGTTCTGTCTCCCTTTCTGATATTTCCCATACATTTCTTCTCCCTTCCCTTCTATTCCCTTTCACTATTATTTATATCCCCCAAATGAATGAGAACATATAATGCTTGTCCTTCTCCGATTGACTTCCTTCACTCAGCATAATACCCTCCAGTTCCATCCACGTTAAAGCAAATGGTGGGTATTTGTCGTTTCTAATGGCTGAGTAATATTCCATTGTATACATAGACCACATCTTCTTTATCCATTCATCTTTCAATGGACACCGAGGCTCCTTCCACAGTTTGGCTATTGTGGACATGGCTGCTAGAAACATCGGGGTGCAGGTGTCCCGGCGTTTCATTGCATCTGTATCTTTGGGGTAAATCCCCAACAGTGCAATTGCTGGGTCATAGGGCAGGTCTATTTTTAACTCTTTGAGGAACCTCCATACAGTTTTCCAGAGTGGCTGCACCAGTTCACATTCCCACCAACAGTGCAAGAGGGTTCCCCTTTCTCCACATCCTCTCCAACATTTGTGGTTTCCTGCCTTGTTAATTTTCCCCATTCTCACTGGTGTGAGGTGGTATCTCATTGTGGTTTTGATTTGTATTTCCCTGATGGCAAGTGATGCAGAGCATTTTCTCATGTGCATGTTGGCCATGTCTATGTCTTCCTCTGTGAGATTTCTCTTCATGTCTTTTGCCCATTTCATGATTGGATTGTTTGTTTCTTTGGTGTTGAGTTTAATAAGTTCTTTATAGATCTTAGATACTAGCCCTTTATCTGATAAGTCATTTGCAAATATCTTCTCCCATTCTGTAGGTTGTCTTTGAGTTTTGTTGACTGTATCCTTTGCTGTGCAAAAGCTTATCTTGATGAAGTCCCAATAGTTCATTTTTGCTTTTGTTTCTTTTGCCTTCGTGGATGTATCTTGCAAGAAGTTACGGTGGCTGAGTTCAAAAAGGGTGTTGCCTGTGTTCTCCTCTAGGATTTTGATGGAATCTTGTCTCACATTTAGATCTTTCATCCATTTTGAGTTTATCTTTGTGTATGGTGCAAGAGAGTGGTCTAGTTTCATTCTTCTGCATGTGGCTGTCCAATTTTCCCAGCACCATTTATTGAAGAGATTGTCTTTCTTCGAATGGATGGTCTTTCCTCATTTATCGAATATTAGTTGACCATAAAGTTCAGGGTCCACTTCAGGGTTCTCTATTCTGTTCCATTGATCTCTGTGTCTGTTTTTGTGCCAGTACCACACTGTCTTGATGACCACAGCTTTGTAGTACAACCTGAAATCTGGCATTATGATGCCCCTAGATATGGTTTCCTTTTTTAAAATTCCCCTGGCTATTCAGGGTCTTTTCTGATTCCACACAAATCTTAAAATAATTTGTTCTAACTCTCTGAAGAAAGTCCATGGTATTTTGATAGGGATTGCATTAAATGTGTAAATTGCCCTGGGTAACATTGACATTTTCATAATATTAATTCTTCCAATCCATGAGCATGGAATATTTTTCCATCTCTTTGTGTCTTCCTCAATTTCTTTCAGAAGTGTTCTATAGTTTTTAGGGTATAGATCCTTTACCTCTTTGGTTAGGTTTATTCCTAGGTATCTTATGCTTTTGGGTGCAATTGTAAATGGGATTGACTCCTTAATTTCTCTTTCTTCAGTCTCATTGTTAGTGTATAGAAATGCCACTGACTTCTGGGCATTGATTTTGTATGCTGCCACGCTACCAAATTGCTGTATGAGTTCTAGCAATCTTGGGGTGGAGGCTTTTGGGTTTTCTATGTAGAGTATCATGTCATCGGTGAAGAGGGAGAGTTTGACTTCTTCTTTGCCTATTTGAATGCCTTTTATTTCTTTTTGTTGCCTGATTGCTGAGGCTAGGACTTCCAGTACTATGTTGAATAGCAGTGGTGAGAGTGGACATCCCTGTCTGGTTCCTGATCTTAGGGGAAAGGCTCCCAGTGCTTCCCCATTGAGAATGATATTTGCAGTGGGCTTTTCGTAGATGGCTTTTAAGATGCTGGGGAATGTTCCTTCTATCCCTACACTCTGAAGAGTTTTGATCAGGAATGGATGCTGTATTTTGTCCAGTGCTTTCTCTGCATCTAATGAGAGGATCATATGGTTCTTGGTTTTTCTCTTGCTGATATGATGAATCACATTGATTGTTTTACGAGTGTTGAACCAGCCTTGTGTCCCGGGGATAAATCCTACTTGGCCATGGTGAATAATCTTCTTAATGTACTGTTGGATCCTATTGGCTAGTATCTTGTTGAGAATTTTTGCATCCATGTTCATCAGGGATATTGGTCTGTAATTCTCCTTTTTGGTGGGGTCTTTGGTTTTGGGTCTTTGGTCAAGGTGATGCTGGCCTCATAGAACGAATTTGGAAGTACTCCATCTCTTTCTATCTTTCCAAACAGCTTTAGTAGAATAGGTATGATTTCTTCTTTAAACATTTGATAGATTTCCCCTGGGAAGCCATCTGGCCCTGGACTTTTGTGTCTTGGGAGGTTTTTGATGACTGCTTCAATTTCCTCCCTGGTTATTGGCCTGTTCAGGTTTTCTATTTCTTCCTGTTCCAGTTTTGGTAGTTTGTGGCTTTCCAGGAATACGTCCATTTCTTCTAGATTGCCTAATTTATTGGCGTATAGCTGTTCATAATATGTTTTTAAAATCGTTTGTATTTCCTTGGTGCTGGTAGTGATCTCTCCTTTCTCATTCATGATTTTATTGAGTCTTCTCTCTCTTCTTTTTAATAAGGCCTGCTAATGGTTTATCTATCTTATTAATTCTTTCAAAGAACCAACTCCTGGTTTTGTTGATCTGTTCCACAGTTCTTCTGGTCTCGATTTCGTTGAGTTCTGCTTGAATCTTTATTAACTCTCTTCTGCTGGGTTTAGGATCTATTTGCTGTTTTTTCTCTAGCTCCTTTATGTGTAAGGTTAGCTTTTGTATTTGAGTTCTTTCCAGTTTTTGAATGGATGTTTGTATTGCGATGTAGTTCCCCCTCAGGACTGCTTTTGCTGCATCGCAAAGATTTCGAACGGTCGTATCTTCATTCTCATTAGTTTCCATGAATCTTTTTAATTCTTCCTTAATTTCCTGGTTGACCCTTTCATCTTTTAGCAGGATGGTCCTTAACCTCCACGTGTTTGAGGCAGTTTACAGATTATTTTGATAAAATCTAAAATGTCTATTAGTTGTTACAGACAAATATATGAGGTAAATAACTAAGAGGAGCCTTTAAACATTTAGACATTTTAAATGTCTCAGATAAATATTAACTTTTATGCTCAATGATGTGTTCTTTAAGCAAGACCTATTCTCTCCTAGGTCCTGCCATGATTCTTCACTTACTCTTTATTGTCTTTCTACTACTAAAGCTCAATACTGTCAAACCTTTATGTCTTGGGGTCCTGAATATCTGCTTCCTTTAATGAAATAACTGTTCCTAAATCTCCTCCTCTTTTCCACTTGGTCATGAAAACTAAAGCAGATTTTAACTTAGGTAATAATTGTGTTTTAATAAAGACTGTGGGGGGAAAAAAGACTGATTTGATTTACATCTCAGAAGGAACTTCAAACATAGCCCATTTGACATAGGAAGTCACTTTCACTCCCTTCCAGACTATTCAATACTATTTTTTTAAAGATTTTTTTATTCATTCATTGGAGAGAGAGAGAGAACACAAGCAGAGGAAGAGGCAGAAGGAAAGGGAGAGGCAGACTCCCCAATGAGCTGGGAGCTCAATGTGGGGCTTGGTCCCAGGACCTGGAGATCATGACCTGAGCCAAAGGCATATGCTCAACCATTTGAGCCACCCAAGTGCCCCCAATACTACTTTTAATTACCTTATCAGCAAGTAGAAAACCACACTGTAGCTTAAAAAGCAAAAAGGTCTTTGTAACTTATCACAAAATGAACTTAAAATATTTGGAAGTAAATTGAACAATATCTTCAATATTTTTTAATTTAAATTCGATTTGCCAACATATTATCTTCAATATTTCATTCGAAAACCTTTGCTTCTCATGCTTGGAAAGACTCCCACATGAAAAATCAAAGAGCATAATCTATATTATGATTATAAAATTAATTATAGTTGCACTCTCAAAATAGGGTTTTTGTGCCTAGAGAACATGTAATCACTAGGGAAGCCAGTAGTGGAAGACAGTGTATTAGAGGGTGTCTACAACTAACACACATTCATATGTGAGGTCACGTGTGGGGAAAGTGCAATACAACCAGTAGATCTGGATAAGGGAAGAAAACTTCATATGCCCTAAAAGAAATTTATTTGTGGATTTTAATTAAGTGTTCACAAGTAAACTTTCACATTGAATTTTAGGGAAAGCTTAATCCATGTATTGAACAGTGTCTTAGGAAGTAAGTAAAAGTCTGATTGACTAGATATAGCTTCAGTGATAAG